GAAGTTCTATTTTGTTTGTTTCTTGAAAATGGAGACAACATTAGCCCTTCTCCAGCCATCTGGCATTTCCCCTGTTTTCCATGAATTCTCAATGATAACAGACAGGGGTATTAAGAGGTCTTCTGGCAGCTTCTTCATGACTCTAGGATGAAGTTCATTCCAACACATTCAACCCACTTAGATGATCCTTGGTCATTTGCCTATCAGTCTTGAGCTGCCATCCTGCTCCTTCAACTTGTGCTTGCCTTCATGAGAAAGCTCACAGATTTCTTTCGGAAGAAGATTGAGCCAAAGTAGGAACTGAGCACTTCTGCCCTTTCTTTGTCATCTGCTATCATTTTGCCATCCACATGAGTAGCTGAACCCTCATTTCTTTTCTCTTTTACTATAGTCATGCCTAAAGAAGGCTTTTTTGTGGCTTTCAGCATCCCTCACTAGCTTCAGTTCATTCCTGGCTTTAGCCTTCCTGACATCGTCCCTGCAATTCTGTACTACCTGCCTGTATTCTTCCCTTTTAGCCTGGCCTTCCTTCCACTTCCTATTTATGTCCCTTTATGTTTTCAGATCTCTAAACCTTTTGTGAAACCACTTGGGCTTTTTCTGTTGCTTTCTACACATTTTTCTTGTTGGAACAGTTTGTAATTGTGCCTTTAGAATTTCCCCTTTTATAAATTCCCATCCATCTTGGACTCCTTTTCTCATTAGAGTCACTTGCCACAGGACTTCGCTTATCATTATTCTGAGCTGATTAAAATTGGGTTTCCTAAAATTCAGGGTACAAACACTTGGCTTCTGCTTCCTTTAGAATCAGGGATTCAAGAACGGCACGGTTCCCATAACTGCCACTTCATCCACTCGGTCTTCCCTGCTGGTTTGTGCTTTCCCTCTGGGGTGATGCAATAGGTCGCTCCAATGCAATGATGTCACTGAAAGGTGGCTTTTTTCTTACAACAAAGGATTCTAAAGGCACCTTGTTCCACCAGGGAACCAACTGCTTTAATGCTGCTCTCTGTACCTAATGACTAATTAGCGACTTTGGGATGCAGTGTGGGAAAGCTAGAAAACAGTTCTGATATGTACAGAAAAGCTTGTGCATGCATGTAAAGGAGGTCACAGATCACAGCCATAACTGGAAGCATCCCTTCAAAATGTATTGCCAGCAATACACAGAAGAGCAGGGCTGACTTCCCCATCCGACAAACATGGGGTACTGTTATAGTGGGGTCAATGCAAGACAATCTGTACACTTTTAATGCTGTGCATGTCTACAGTGGGGTCTTAGAGCTGCTTCATGTTGTACTTTCTGGGCTTATACCTAAGATGGTCAAGTGGCAATCCAACAAACTATGTTTGCAAACATGTGCAGTTAACATTCATGAAGTTGCATTCATGGAAAAGTCAGAGTTGTGTGTTAGTCAGTGACTGGGTTGATACAACATGATAAGCCGTGGTGGTTTACAAGCCAGGGGTGGCTTGTAGTGTTGTCTGAACTCAGCAGCATAGTTTGTTAACCAATCTGGCTGGGTTCGGACCTGGTTTATTAAGTTGTAGGAACTTGGCCACTGCTCTTTGTCAACAGGCCTAGTTGACTTGCCATATAATGTGTGAAATGTCTCTCCATTGACTTTGAAATGAATGCTGTGCTGAAACCTTTCCTTTCTGACCTTTTGTAGCCTTTTCATTTCCTGTGGAAGGAGCAGCCATTTTTCTACCTTTTTTGCTGTGATATTGCGGATTTCATATAGATTTCTCAGGGTGCAGGGCTTTAGTGCTTACTTCACTGTGTGAAGGTGCCAGGATGCGTCTCTGCTTTCTCTCTCTCACTCTCTCCTCCCCATTCCTCCCCCATTTGGTTCTTGCAGCCTCTCCAGCCGCTTGAACTCCTTGAAAAACCAAGCTGGGTTTTTCTAGCGCTGCTTTCTGCTGCCTGCCAGAAAACCGAGAGGCATGTTTTTGATTTTGCGTTGGTGTTATCTGAAGTCCTTTTAACCATACCAAGTGCTTGTTCAGCTTCCAGCTTGCCCAGCAGCACAGGGAGACCCCAAGGAGCCAAGCTCAAACCACTGGAGAGGTTGCAAGGTCAAAATTGGGGGGGCAGGTTATTGGTAAAAGAAAGCACCCCCACCAGCCACATCCTCTCAATAACGTAAGCATGCAAGTCATATACCTTGAGTTATTTCTCCAAACTTCTCAGCCCATCCCACACTTTTCAGGGGCAGTTCCCTTTCACATTCTCTCATTCCCAAATGCAAGCTTGAAACTAAATAGATTGTAAAATTCAGTGCAGTGCTGGTTTACATCCAGGCAAGTCATGGTTCACACACACACACACACACACACACACACACACACACACACACACTGTAGAAGTGGCACAAAATTATGTCTCCCTTTTCCTCCCTTTGAGGCCGAGGACCCTCTTCTCATTGCTGTTGTATATTACTCAGTAGTGTGACAGGAGCTGCAGGATGGAAAATACGGGAAAGGCTGTGATCCACCCCTGTGATTTATTGCTAAAGATGGGGTTGGGAAATGTGGCTGCAACTTCTCCATAGCAAAGTGAGGAGGACACAGTCTGCATGAGAAAGAAAATGGATAGGAAAGTGCTTAACTGTGATCCTGCCTGCTATTTTTCTCCAATGGCTTGTGCTAGGAATCACTGTAAGGAAAGGATTAATCTGGAATGACATGAACTTTGTAACCGTGTAGAAGAAACAGGGAACGGACAGGAAGCTTTAGTTTTGCTGTATTTATTTATTTATTATATTTTTATCCTGCCCCATAGCCAGAAATGGGTTAAAATATAGTAGTATATTAAAACAGTATACATCATAAAACATAATGTAAATTAACAATAAAATTACACATTGGACACAAAAAGCCACCACAATAAATCCACTCAATTACCACAGTTTACAAACCACTAAAACCATTAAAAGGCAATATAGCATAAAATACATATATAACATCTTTAAAAGTTATCTTAACTATTAAAATATCGGGAAAATAAAAAGGTCTTCGCCTGCTGCTGGAAACAATCAAGAGAAGGCACCGGGCGACCTCTTTGGGGACTTGGTTCCAGAGTTGGGGTGCCATCACAGAGAAGGTCCTTCTCCTTGCAGCCACCCTCCTTATTTGGTTTTTTTTTGGGGGGGGGGGCTCTGAGAAGGACCCCCAGTGATGACCTTAAGGTATGGTTAGGAAAATATGGGAAGATGCCCTCCTTTAGATAACCTGGCCCCAAGTCATTCAATACTAACACTGAACTGAGCCTGCATTTCAATTGGTAACTGTGATGCTGATAGACGACTAGTGTTAGGCGCTCATATTGACCGGTCCTCATCAACAGCCCTGTATGCTTGTAACCTTGACTCTTAAGATAAGCAAAATGTTTCTCTTGGTGGCAACCGGTGCTTATAACAACAGTGTAGAGTGGGTAACTTAGGCAATCACTGTATGCTTTCCCCTTATGCTTTGAGACGGGTATAATTTCTGGTACACTGTCAAATGGGGTCAGTGTCTTGAGACCTGCTCTCTTGCACACTGTCTCACATGTGTGTTTGCGTAGTGCTGTTCTAATAAAACCATAGCTTTATCTTTAACTTTCAGCATACCTGCTTGTTTATCTGGGCTCCGACACTTGAAATGTCGTGCATACTTCTGGGAGCTCTTATTCAGGGGAAGTACAAGCAGGGACTTGTGGTCTGCCTGAAGAGATGCCCTCCGTTGTGTATTGTGTGAAATGACCTGGCTGGTCAAGGTTGAAAAAACGATTTTGCATAAGGTGAAGCTTTGGGCTCCAAGCCTGCAGAGGCAAAGGTGAGTGGAGGAAGGGCTAAGCCCCCACCCCCCACTGGCTCTTCTCTGCAAATTATTATTATTATGGCATTTATTCTGCAGCAATTTGCAACAGAAAAGCTCAGTGTTTGTCATGATCGCTTACACCGTGTTGCCAAAGGATGATCCAGATTCTGTTCCTCCAATGATCCATGGGCCACACATTTATGATTCAGGACCTTACCCTGGTTCTCGATCTAGCCTGAAAACTTTCTTCCAATGGACTCGGAGCACTTCTGTCTAGTGCTGGGACTTAATCCTGTCCAGGAGCAATACGTAAGGGAGAGCAGAGCTGATGAAATAAAATAACTTAAACCAGTAAATTGCAGATTGCAAAGGGACTGCATTTGGATCCAAGCTTGGAAGCTGCTTTCTTATCTCAAATCTCAGAGGTGGACTGTGGCTCCTCAAGTGAAGGAAAGCACTCCGTGCATGCACAGAGGAAAAAGTCTTCATTGTTATGATTTCACATGTGCTTGGTCTCCTGATCCATAACATGCAATTTTGTGTGTGCGCGTGTGTAGAGCTCTGAAAAAGGGCACTGTGATGAATTGTTGTCTGATGATGCTGTTTTCAGAGGTACCAACCAAACAAACTTTACCAACAGTTTCTACCCTACCCTTCCACTAAGCCGTTTTCTTAGTTCCTTATCGGCTCTTAAAGTGTCCTTGGACCACTGGCTGAACAGAGTCCACAGTCTGCATTCCAAAAGGGACTGAAGGATGGCAGAGGCTTGGGAAAGCCAGAACAGAGGTGAAGAAATTAGAACAGAGAGGTCTGACTTTTCCTTCAAGCACCTGGGAGCAGCCCACAGAGGTTAGTTAAGCCTTGGGCAAGGAACCACCCTGCCTGAGTAACAGATGACAATACAGTTGGAAACCAAAGAAAGAACTGTTAATAAAAAGAAAAGCCTGTCCTTTCAAAGACAGATTTTCTACAGGAATGTGACTTAAGCATGAATAAGATAATAAAATGATTTTGGAAGTTGGGTTGTGAAGTGATGAAACCAGAAGGGAATGCAAAACTTGGGGATTTTTTTCCTTGCTTTGGCAACGCCTTCTTCCAAGATATAAGAGAGGCATGCAGAGAGAGCGGCTAACTCTCTCGAGCATTTGAGGGTGTGAAAGCAAAATCTCTCTGGGGTGCCTCTCTTTTCTGGCAGCATGTCCACCACTATCCGGCAGTACACCTCTTCTTCTTCTTCTATGAAGGGGCCTTCCTTCGGTGGGGGCTCCACTCGACTCTCCTCTGTCCATTTTGGTGGGGGATACAGAGCTCCCAGCATCCATGGTGGGGCAGGTGGTCTCTCCCTCTCTTCCTCCCGCTATGTCTCTGGAGTAAGCAGTGGCTTTGGTGGTGGCTATGGGGGCAGCAGCTACTGCAGCAGCTTTGGTGGGGGTTTTGGGGGAGGCTTTGGAGGCGGCCTGGGGGGCAGCTTTACTGTTGCGGGCGATGGCCTGCTGGCAGGAGGCGAGAAGGAAACCATGCAGAACCTGAACGACCGCCTGGCTGCCTACCTGGAGAAGGTGCGGGCGCTGGAGGAAGCCAACACAGAGCTGGAGGTGAAGATCAGGGAGCGGTACAAGAAGCAGGGACCTGGTCCACAGCAAGACTACAGTGGTTATTTCAGGACTATTGAGGACCTGCGGAACAAGGTAAGCTAGCCAAAAAACAGCTACTACAGGGGACTCTTACCCAGCCCAAGTGTGGAGCAGGGCTTTAGATGGAACTCTGGTGACCAGTTGCGCACCTAAGTAAGAGAAGGAGCAATATCTGGCAAGGTCTTCTCCTCCTCCTCCTCCTCCTCCTCCTCCAACATTACATTTCTATACTGCCTCATAGCCAAATCTCTCTGGGCAGTTCACAATATTGTAGGTCACCTATCCAGGCTTCAACCGGGCCTGATCCTGCTTAGCAGGCAAGATCAGGCAGGGTGAAGCACCTCATGCTATACAGAAGCTTAGATACAAGCTTAGATAGAAGCTAGATGCAAATAGCTGGACGAAGAGTGTGCTCAACCATGACCGGAATGTCTGCAAGAGGAATTACTGGTGCTGTAATTCAGCACACCTGGTGGGTGCCAAGGTGATGAAGGGTGTTCCAAGGCCTTTCCACACCCCTGAATGGCTTCGCATAACACAAAAAGCCACAGTGGTTTTTTGTGTCTGCTGAATGGTTTTTTGTGTCCGGCCTACTTTCTTGTGGGGTGGGTGGGTTATAAACCACCCCAACTAGCCATGGCTTGTCTTTCATAAAATCTCCATGGCTTACTGTTTCATCCAAGCCTGGACAACTCAACGGGTCATAGTCAAGCCGCTTGACAAGAGTGGCAGAAAGACCTGCTGCTGCAGCTGAGGAGCCTGCAGGTGACTGCCTGTCCCAACCACCACTGTGTGTTTGGGGCAACTGGGAAATGCTTCCCCACCTCCCTCACAGCCATGGCGAGCCATTTAGTGCAAACTGTGACTTGACTTCAATTAAAAAAAAAACATTTGCAAAACCCACCTCTAAGGCATTTTCTCAATCCTGTTTTGGGGTATCCAGGAGGTGCCCCCCAAGGATGCCCAGCAGTTACTTGGAGGGTCTGCTCAAGATCACCTGCTATTTTTCAAAAATCAAGGTGTTCTCCTCCTCCACTTTGCACGGAGTCCACCTGTGGAAATACGACGGGCAGGCTCCTTGCAAAGCCCTGGGAGGCTGCACTTCATGGCAAGGGACTGCTTCCCCCACTTTGCAATGCGATCCTCCACAAAGCTAGAGCGCATTGTGCCAGGACAGCAGGGCTTTAAAGCATCTCTGTGCTGACAGGCGTGTGGGCTCACTAATGCATTCCGGATGTTACCTGCATTCCAGGCACGCTCTGCCTCTGCCAAGCCACTGAGATCACCAAGGGCTGAATGCTCCCCCGGGCAATGGGGGCAGGGCCGAGCAGCGCTTTGATGCAACACACCTCTCTGTGGTGTCTTTCAGGGTCTCCTCTTGATGAGTAACAGGAGCAATGATCTCATACTAGGCTCAAGTGAGAGATTAGGAGAGCTCATTGAACATTCCTTTGCTAAATAAATAAAGTGCTCTGGCAGATCTATTTCATTTGACGTTGTCAGTCCACGTCAAGTCGATTGCATTTTGCAGAAGGGCAGGTCTGGCTAGATGCCGTACCAGAAACTTCCTGGTTTGCGCATCGAAGACCCCATGCTTGCTCCTCCATCACTTTACCCATGGCACACTTCCTGCCTCTTTACGTCCCAAATCCTTTATTCCAGCACGTACAGCTAAATTCTCTGGACCTTCAACTTTTCCTGGCTTCCCTTCCCAAGTCTTGAAAGCTGGCATCTAATCACGAGCAACAAATGGATAAGACCAACTTAAAAGAATCAGTTGCTTCCTTCCTTTATAGTTTTCCTGTCTTTACTTTTATCCTAGCCACCTACACATTTCCAGAAAGGAGAAAATGCACCACCCAAATAGGTGGCAGACAAAGGCATAGATCTGCAATTTACCTGTAAAATGAGAAATAATGGCTCGTTTAAATGGAAATACAATGCATGACCCTAATGGGAAAAACAGTGGCCAGATGAGCTGTACCTTTGCTCAACATGCTGTCCAGGTTCTAACTGATGATGGGCAACCTCAAGAGCCCTGATCCTGATCAAAGTCAGTCTTCTAATGGATCATAATCTGTAACCTGGCTGGCTCCTCAAAAAGAGGACAGCTTCAAAGAGAGGACTGCCCTCTGACAGCCCTTCAGACAGAGGACGTAGTGCTGCTAACTGCCTTGGTGCTGCTGGTGCTTACTTCTGCCTGATGCATAGTTAAAGACTGATCTAGTCCCATGAAGCCTCATTCCAGCAGACCTCTTGAACCAGCTTCTTAGTGTGCCCGCTTCTCTTTACAGATACTAGCTGCCACCATGGATAACGCCAACAGCATCCTGCAGATTGACAATGCACGTCTAGCTGCCGATGACTTCAGGACCAAGTACGTGCTGCTGCTGCTGCTGCTGCTGCTGCTGCTGATTATTATTATTATTTTTAGCCAGAGGTAGAAAGAGTAGTGCTGGTGGGTGGGGAACCAAGCTGTCATTTTGATTTGGGTCTGTTGTCTATAGTTATTATTAACTATTGCATTTATACCCAGCTTCTCTTCCTCCTGCAAGGAACTCAAGGCAGCTGGTAGCCTCCTCCACTCAATCTTATCCCACAGCAGCAACCCAGTGAGGTTGGAGAGGCTGAGTGGCCAGCCCAAAGTCACCCAGTGAGCTTCATGGCTGAGTGGGTGTGGCGCCCGATCTCCTGAGTAGCCAGTCCAAAGCTGTCTCCACCCTGCTGACATATTAACACCAGTGATCGAGGATTTTTGGCTGGTTGGCATTTTGAAGTATACTGCCATGATTTGTACCTGCAGGCCACAACTGGACAGGGGAATGCGGCTATCCTTTGGTTTTTTCGTGTGTCAAAATCTTGGATTCATTTTTCAGCTTAAAAATGAATACTCTAGGGTGAAATACTTTTTGAAATGTTGAGCATTATGAGCAAATATTGTTAGAAAAGCATATTTTGTGAGAAAATAGGAGCAAAAAGATGCCTTTACATGCAAATGTTTGTGCCTTTACAAAAGAAGAGCAGATAAATGTGGACTGAACAGTTGGAAAGCACATGCAGAGTGTAAACAGACTAACTCATCAATCCCATAAGGGAAGGAAGATGAGGTATAAAAATGCAGAGACAAAACATCAGCAAGATGCCCTGCATAGCAGCCTTGATCAGAAAGTCAGAGAAGCAGATCGGGCAATCGACATCTTTCATGTCAGGAGATGAATTAAAAGCCCAACACATCTCTTACTCTCTGGCTTGACTTGCCATGTTATGTGAACCTAGGTGACGGGTTGTTTGAGGGTTCCATAATCTTGAAATAATCCATGGCTTGTTTTAGGGTTATTAGCTTTAGGGTTGTCCACTAGAAGTTGTTGCTTGGGTCTCGTGTTATGACCATCAAATCTCTGTATCCAGATGCTTAATCTGCTCTGCAACCAAAGTGGCAGATTTCTCAATATCTCCAAGTGCCATTGCTTTCCCTGCTCTGAAGTCATTAATGTACGTTCTCCCGCTTTCCAAAGAGAAAATAAGGGTACCTTGTGTATTTACTTTTTGTCATACCATGCATCGTCGCCTGAGTGCATACCTCACCTTCACCCACATGATTACATTTGCCAGTCATTCTTCTTTTGCTTAGCCTAGGCTGAGTTGTTTTATTATTTCCTTATTATTGATTTTTACATCCCACCTTACCTGCAAAAAACCATCAAAGCAGTGCACAGCTATTTAAATCAATACCACCTTAAAATATTAAATCCTGAAACAGCCTGTCTGGTGCAGATTTCTGAAACTGGGTATGCGTAGTACACTATCACCAGTCATTTTTTAAGACTTAAGAATGTAAATACAATGTTTAATCTTCCAATGGATCTGAATATAATGATCACAATTCAAAACATATTCAGTAACTTTTACTATCTGGTGCACCAAGGAGAAAAGATGGAAGGAGAGTTGGTGAAAACTCCTGTATATGTAGAGACCATGATGGATTGAGGGCAGGTGCCAGAAGCAGACAACTGTTCTCATAAATAGGGAAAGTTACAAGAACAGGAGAGGGGATCACGCTTTGTCCTGATGGACTGCTGTTTTTACATGGGTTCCTCAGGAAAATAATCTCTGATAGACTTCCCCCAGCCAGGATGAAATGACCCACCTTAGGTTGTCCAGAGTTTCTGAGCTCAGTTGCCAAGGTCCCTCGTGTCAGCCCAGACCCAGGAAAGAAGAAAAAAAAGAAAGGTGATTTGGACTTTCCATCCTAAAGCCCCAGAAGAGTGAATTTCCTCATGTGGTCTTTCACATGCAGAAGAGCTCAGTGGGAAGTCCCTTTTAAAACAATGCAGCCAGCTGTTCAGATAAAGAAAGGAGTTTATTTAGAGGGGAAAAATAGAAACAATGGGGAAAATGGGGAATTCTAAATGAAATTAAAAAATCAGTCTAACTTAACTAGTCACTTTAACCACTTGGGTCCTAGAACATAAGAAAATGCCAAATTTATTGCAGAGAAGATATTTTGAGGGAAAGAGAGCATGCATTTGCATGACATGACAAGCCACGGTGGTTTCTTGTGCAGGATCGTCATGTCTTTGAACCCTGGTATTTTAGCATGATACATTTGGTTTTTAGAAACCATGATAAGAAACACCAGTCTGTTCTATGGTTTCCACATTTCACCATGGTTTCTCTGACCATCCAAGCCCAGTATTGTGGTTTCCATGGTCCTACCACAGAGGCCCCTGGAAAGACTGGCAGCTGCCTAAAGAGATGTTCCAGCCATCCGACATGAAATTTAAGTTCAGGTGTGATGGCCGATGAGATGTGTGCCAACAGCAGAAGGATGCAGTGAGGAGGGTGGAAACCATGCTAGTGTAGAAACCACTTAATTATCTTTCAGGTACATCCAGGCAAAATCATGGAAACAATGCAGGGTTGCTTGCAGTGATATCTGAACCCAGGCAGAGACAGAGAGAGTGAACATCTGGCTTTCAATGACATGCTGTACAGGAAAGCTCTAGGGGGATTTCTGGGGTCTCCATTCAGTAAAAGCCCCTTAGCAGAAAGTGTTGGCTGATCTATCCAATAACCTGGCAGCCTTCATTTCTGATGTCAGTGGTCTAACCAACAAACCAGAAATCACCTAGTTGCTGTGCCCACCCTCTTATTGACTGTAGCTTGCAACTCAAGTACCTAAGGTGTTTGGAATCAGTCAGTGCATTCAAGAAAAGGGATTAAGGTTTTGTTCACATTTGGAGAGATGAAGGAGTGAGATGAGGCCAGATGAAAGTATCCAGGTTGCCCAGCAGATTGCCAGCTCGGTTGTTTCGGAAGGCATTGTGGACCAGTGTCTCAGAAACAGGGGTTCGTCACAGAGACAAGTAGAAGATGTGATTGAAATAAGTTTTTTTCTGGAGCAGCCTTGGACTAGGGGACAATCTGAGACCCTAGAATCTGCATTATGAGCAACTTGCATAGATTTGAACATATGGGCCAAGCTAGACCCAATGTTTGTCACATGGCTCCTATTGGCCCTGATGGACATAACCATATGTTGCTTGCCGTTTTCCACCCAAATGCTTCAGGACCACTGAACCAACACAGTGGTCACCTGAAGGCTCAGGCGGAACTGCTTGGGAGCCAAACTAGACAGTAGGGGCAGACTTCCAACATGAATCTTGATAACAGAAAAACTGTTGAACTATACGGGGTCAAACATCTGTGAAGGATCTGCAATTTCATTTGTGCTTTTTTGGTTGTTGCTTCCAGGTTTGAGACAGAACAAGCTTTGCGCATGAATGTTGAGTCTGATATCAATGGGCTGCGCAGAGTCTTAGATGAACTGACCCTGGCCAGGGCAGATCTGGAAATGCAGATTGAGAATCTGAATGAGGAAGTGGCTTATCTCAAGAAGAACCATGAAGAGGTAAGAAGCAAAGTCACCAATACACCCAGATACACCACCAGAGGTTTGCAGCAGACCCCGGCTCCAATCCTATACCAGTCGAGCGTGGGCCAAGCCCAGGACTACGCAACATTTAGGATGTGGCAGTGGACCAGCTGACCAAAGGCTGGTTGCTGGTAGTGCAGCAGGACATCGTGTTTGAGGGTCTGGGGAAGGGCCATGTGGGGGGAACTATTCCTGCAAGGGGCTGTGCTGCCTCATTTATGTCAGACCACATACACAAAGTGGGAATCTGTGTTTAGGTTTGGATCAAGGCTCATGGTGTGCCCTGGGGTAGATGGGCCTTTCTTAGGAAGGGGAAATAAGGGGCAAGACAAGAAGCTAGTATTTAGAGTAATCAAGTCTGCACTTTTATGTAGAAATAGAACGTGTATGTACAGATTTGCATTCAAATTGGATTTGCAACTATTTGGCTTTATTGACAAGGGGAAGTAAGCACGACCAGGAGTGGGGAACAGTGTGCTGATGAGGAGGAGAGAAGCAATGGTCCAGAATATATATGGAAGCACCCTTCCATATAATTAGGTGATGGAAGGGTAATACAGCCAGACAGATTTTTGCATGGGGCTAGCAGGAGAGCTCTGTGGAAGCGCCATGTTGCTTGAAGGGAGGAGGAGGCAAAATGAAAGAAAGGAAAAGAAATCCAAGCTCTGCATTCCTCTTGCAAAATGGAGGAGGAAAGGACTTCTTCCCCTGGAGGATGCTGTGGATAAGGAGGGCGTCCTATTTGCTGGGTGATGAATGGGGTGGTGGGGTGGGGGGGTTGCATTGCCTGCAACAGGTAACTGGGAGTCCTTTTAGCCTTTTGTGCTATGAGGCTTTTTGTTGTAAGACCTGGAGCAGGAACACCGGTGGTCTGCTCCTTTTAATCCCTGACTCAAAAGAGGACAAAAGGACAGGGCCAGAGAGAGGAGATGAGGGCAGGCAAGGACAGAAGGAAGCACAGCTGTGCCCTAGGACCCTAGCAGAGAGGAAGGGAGTGACATATTCAGACAGTGGCTTGTCCTTTGGCTTAATGAGGGAGAGTTAGCCCAGTGGGCTGAATGAAAAGTGCTCCAATGTGCCCAGCTCTCTTTTGAAGCTGGGCCTGGTACACCTTTCTGGGATGAGCCACTCCCTGGAGTCCAGGTCTAGGCAGACACTAGAAAATGGCAATGAGCCAAAAGCAGACAATGCCTGGCCGGGTGGACAGCGCAGGCAAGTCATCTGGCCTGGTGTAAGGCCATTGGCTGTGAGGGTTTTGGATCCCAGGTCACACCTGGAAAAGAAATGTAGTAAACTTTCTGATTGTATCCCCCTGCCACTAGGAAATGAATATTCTCCGAAGCCAGATAGGTGGAGAAATCTCTGTGGAAATGGATGCTGCTCCTGGGGTGGACCTGACCAAGATCTTGGCGGAGATGCGTGAACAGTATGAGAACCTGGCAGAGAAGAACCGCAAAGATGCCGAACAGTGGTTCTTCACCAAGGTGGGCCTTTCTTTGGATTCTTCCAGAATACAGGCTGGATGTTGCCAAAAGGAGGATTAGCTCTCCGAGTTGCATATAAACCACGTGCCTTTTCCTTTTCCTTCTAGACTGAAGAGCTGAACCGTGAAGTTGCCACCAATACAGAGCAGCTGCAGAGCAGCAAAACAGAGATTACAGAATTGAGACGCACTGTTCAAGGCCTGGAGATAGATCTGCAGGCGCAGCTCAGCATGGTATGGAGGCGCTTACTGGGAAGGAGGGAAAATTTGATAGGCTTTTTGAAGCAACCCCAGTTCCCTTTCACATTTCTGATTTGAAGTGTATTTCTGGTCACTGCACAATCTTGATTTGGGGGATAATACCACTACTTTACCCCAACAAGAGATCTTGGGGTTGTGGTGGACAGCTTGATGAAAATGTTAGCCCCGTGGACAGCTGCTGTGAGAAGGGCAAATTCCATGTTAGGCAAAATTAGGAAAGGAATTGAAAATAAAACTGCCAAGATCACACTCCACTTATACAAATCTATGGTGGAGCCATACTTAGAATACTGTGTACAGTTCTGATCATCGCACCTAAAAAGCATATTTAGGGTTCAAAAAAGTGCAAGAAAAGAAAACTAAATTGATCAAGGCACTGGGACAACTCCCCTGTGAAGGAAGGTTACAACATCTGGGTTTGTTTAGCTTAGAAAAAGTTGTGTGAGGAGAGACATCACAAAGGTGTACAGAATTATGAATGGTTTGGGAAAAGTGGACAGAAAGACATTTTTCTCCCTTTCTCATAATACTAAATCATCCCATGAAGATGACTGGTGGAAGATTCAAGATGAAGAAAAGGAAGTGATTCTCCACTCAGTGCATAATTATGCCGTGGGGTTCACTTCCACCAGAAGTAGTTTCACCCAGTAATTTGGATTGCTTTAAAACTGGGATCAGCCAAATTCATGGAGAAGTCTCACAGCCGGACACTGGTTTGATAAGGCAACCAGAGACAAACCAGTTGCTGGGGAGGGCCGAAACCACTTACGTCCATCTTGCGGGTTTCCTATGGGTAGCTGGTTGGCCACATTGTGTGCAGAACGTTGAATAAGACGGTCCAATCCAACATGGATCTTCATACATCTCAGAGATAGCCGAATATGTATGAGGCATCAAGATATTTCAGATTATCCTTGATGGGGTCTCCGCTTCTGCCCCAGTATTCCTTGGAGTCTAACCTCCCCTTGCCCCATTCTCATTCCCCAGAAAGCGGCACTGGAAGGCACCTTGGCGGACACCGAAGCCCGCTACGGTGCTCAGCTGGCCCAGCTCCAGGCCCTGATCAGCAGCGTGGAGGAGCAGCTGGCCGAGCTGCGGTGTGACATGGAGCGCCAGAACAACGAATACAAGATCCTCCTGGATGTCAAGACCCGCTTGGAGCAGGAGATCGCCACTTACCGGCGCCTGCTGGAGGGAGAGGAAGCCCAGTAAGTGAAGGCAGCAGGGGGTGGTGAGCTCTGAAGAGATGGCATGAAGAGGGATCTCTGATGGCTCGAAAGCAGCAAAGTCTTTTTAGACTAATACTGTTGTAGTTGCATCAACTTTCTCTAAAGCAGAAAACTTCCAAGGATGCAGAGTTAACCTAGATTTGTTTCCCTTGCAAGCCAGGATACACTTTTTAAACCTTCAACAGGAAAATCCATTGTCCCTACATAGGATCTCTAGAAAAAAAGAGCACCAGAATCCTCTAGCTTCTCACATCCAACATTCATTTCTCTCCCTCTTCCTCTTCAGTTCACACCATCACCACAGCACTTCCTGGCTTATTTAAGCCATAGTTGGGGTAGAGTGCATGTGTTTGACTATTCAACCCTGAGCAGGGTATTGCCATGGTTTGTAACCCCCCTCCCCCCCATGACTAACTTCGAATTGCTCTTGCGGGCTGGGCTCAGATGACACAGCAAGTCCCAGCCCGGTCCTCAAGAGGCAATTCAGTGCTGCGGCCCAAGGTGGACTGCAGTGATCTTGTGAGCTAGCTGTGTCCCTGACTGCAGCAGTCGTCCTCTACAGTTTCTTTTTCCTTGTAGACAGAACTAGAGAACATAATCCTTAGCTGGTTGCAGAGTGGAGGAAGAGAAAGTTGTCACGCCTACTTTCAGAGCCTCCCAAGTATTTCCTGACCATTCAGAAATCATTTACGCTTCATTCAGCTAGTCATTTGTTTTACAAAAGAAGTCCTTAGCAAATTTGACACTGATCTGCAGTCATTCTGTCCCCTGCTGCCCACTCCCCAATCATGCAACAGATTTGGATGACATGCCACAGCTCATCACCCATGATGGGTTGTGTGGTTTGACTGCGGTGGACATGGGTTATGCAAGGGGTAAAAAAATCTTTACTACTCTAGCAGTGCTTACTTTTGTCCTCAGACACCACCAACTCAGCAGACCCTGGAACAAACAATGGTGGCCTTTTGGCCCTGGAAACAGAAGCAATCCCAAAATAGACCATGTTTTAACCCTCACAGAACCCACACTCAGCAGGTGTGCACACATGAAACACCTTGGCTAGACAAAAAAACCAAAGGCAGCAGAAGTAGGACTGGGACGAAAGGCCAGTCCATAACTGCTCAGTGCTCCTAATCTTCATGACTATGTGGATCAAGTACCAGTGAAGAAAGGTACGGATTGTCATGCTGGGATCAGAGCAGCAGTGCACAAGATCTAGCTGACACAGTGCCCACTATGGCATAATTGCTCCTGTATCACCATGGTATGCGTAACAGCTGCATCTTCTGGTGGTGCATTGCATGGATTCAGCAACTCTTTGGTCAGTGGTGGCCAGTAAGTGTCCAGCCCTCCTTCCCCCTGCAGTGGTAAGAGATGCAGCAGGTTTGGAGGTTTTTAATTCTTTCTCTCTGCAGTTGTCTGACCCTTGGATTATTCCACAGAAAACTAAAAGGGAGCTAATGACCTAAACTTACATCCCAGTTCTATCTGTCCTATTTTGAATAATACCTTTTTGGAATTCACACTTTACAGTTTGGTTAGGGAGGTTTTCTTCCTCCTTGGTAGGTTGTGGCTCTTTTTAATTAGTGAAGGAATTAGGGAATCATTCCTCTTAACAGCAGGAATGAGAGTTGAGGGAGCATTTGTCAACCTTCTGAAGCCATTTCTGCTCTTGTGTACTATTTCAGTAAGGGATGCAAACATGGAAAATAGCTTTGCCTTCTAATTATGAGAGGCAGCTCTATATTTCTTAATAAGTTATTTCACATTTCCTTCAATATTTTGAAAATCAATTATATTTAAATGTTGACAACATAACATATCTTTAACTTGTTCATTAATTATCTGATAAAAGGTATCAACTAATTATGAATTAATAGATTGACAGAACTTCCAATTTTAAAAAGATCATTTTAGGACATTTCTACTGCAGCTTTATTGGCTTTTATTATGGTGTCCTAGGAAAGTTGCCTGTATTTTTAACTTGACCATGTTCTTTTCCCCTTTTTCCTTATAGCATCAGTTCCCAATACAATGCAGCTGTATCTGGAAGAGACGGTAAGAGTGATTCTCAACTAAACAGCTTTTCAAATGTGTCTACTCAGAAGCAAGGCCTAATGATTTTGGTGAGATTTTTTCCCAGGCACATGTGTACAGCCTGCAAGTGTACACATTTACTTGAGAGTAAGCTCCACTGAAGTCACTGGGCCTTGCCTCTGAGTAGACATATAGAAAATTGTACTGGGAAAGGGAGGAGGATCCTTAATGCAGCCTTCCTCAACCTGGCACCCTCCAGATTGATTGGATTACAGGAAGGCACTAGGCTGAGGAAAGCTTCCTTAATAAGACTCATAAAATCCAACTCCTGACATCCTTCACTTTTAGTTAAATTGTTCACTAATGGGGTAAGGAGACAAGTCAGGTTGGCCTGTCTGGTAACATGAGGGCTGAAATAACTGCTCCTGCACAATGACAGCAAATGCTGCTAGTGAAATGATCCAAGAGAAAGATAGTTCTATTTTAAAAGTGTGTCATCCTTCACCAACATCACCATCCTGAGTTGCAGTGTGGATCTCCCCTACACCTCATGACTGTGGTTCTCAATTTCATTTCAATTTGTTCAACATAACCTTAGGAGGAAACCCTAAGCACACCTATTAGGGAATAACAACTGAGCTGAAAGGGATTACTGAGCAAATTTGTTTAGGATTGCACTGTTACTGATTCCTCATCCCGACCTCCCTGATGGAATCCCACCGGGATGACGGGGGCATGGGAAATGGAGTGGGGCACACATCTTTGCTGCTCCAGGAGTATATGCGTCTGTCCTCAGACTCTGGAAGCAGAAACTGTAGGCATTCTGCTGACATAATGAGGCACAGGAAGCAGCTGAGGCTTTTGGATAGCTCCTGGCCCCTCAGGCCTTGTTGGATCCCAGAACAAGCCAAGAGCTTGATAGAAGCTACCTGGATGGCCATCAGCTCCCCTCTTGCCCTATTGCTCTGTCTCTAAGCTGATGCTAGAAAGTGAAGTCATGACATCTGAAGACAAAGGCTCACTCCCCATTCTCTTGCAGTGACAAAGACCACACGCCAAGTCCGCATGGTGATCGAGGAGTCTGAAGATGGAAAGATAGTCTCTTCCCGTGAGCAGGTCAAGCAGTCTAACTACTGAAAAGGACAGACTGTCTCGAATGCCCCAAGATTGGAGTGCTTGGATACCCCAGGAGAGTTGGCATCCCAATATCCTCCCAGCATTCTGTAGTGTGTATTCCACTTCTCTATCTGTCTGCATGCACACACAACATCTTTGTGAAGAAGAAGAAGAAGCAAAGCTACAGTTATATGGCTTTTTCAGTCAACTAACTTCCTTCCCTGTAAGCAACTAATAAAGCATCATTCCTCCAGTTATACAAAACGCAAGCTCTTTTCATGATTTTAAATCACAGTTTCTCAAAAACACCAGCTTTTTTGGGACTCCCACTATGGGAGGGACTAGCATGGGCTTCAATAATTTGTAGGGGCTAATTTATTATTGCCATTAAAATAGTCATAATCGTGATCATCTCAGCATGAGCATATCCTGCCTTTCTTCCATTGCTAGAAACTCAAATACACTTATATTGCCCTCTTAGCAACCCTACTAGGTAGGCTAAGAGTCACGCACTGGCTCAAAGTCATTCAGCCAGGTTCATGCCCAAATGGGACTAGAACTTAGATCTCCCAAGTTCCCCAGCCCATCGCTCTAACTATTATACCACACTAACTCACTACTGGTTAAGACTTTGTATCAGGGTCTGGGATGTGGGTGTCCAGAGGCCAGACAGAGGTGCTGGAAGCAGGGCAACAGAACTTCAAGCGAGAAGAGTCCAAAGTCCAAATGTAAGGTTTAATGGAACCTAAGGAGATAAGCAGGGGTGTAGGTACACTGAGAAGGGTAACTGGGCATGATACACAGCAAGGGTCAGGCCAGATGCATGCACAGCAGCAAGCAGGAAGACCTGTGATGCTGAGGCAACATGGCAAGGCAGGGTGCATGGCAGGATGCAGGCAAGGTGTGGGTACCACAACAGTGGGAGGACCTGTGTTACTGAGGCTGTTTTGGGTTCTTGCTGAGGTGTGTGTGGGGGTGGGTGGGGGAGAGCTTGCTCTTCTATAGCGCTCCCCCCAGGGCTCCCAGCTGGCACTCAACAGGAGACTGAGAGCTCTAGCAGGGCCTGGGACTGATCTTGTGAATACTAAGGTGGGGTTTTGGTTCTGACCATCAGGTGAACCTCCAGAGCAGCCTGGACCCTGACACTTGGGCACTAAGGGCACATGGGGAAATCGGTTCACTTCAGAGTCAGTCTCCACAGACAGACAGGCACCATCTGAGAATTCTGCAATGGGTGGGTGAGGATGAGAGTCGAAGCAAATTCAAAAGACCCACTCTTGAGTATTGCCAAGATTCAATTGAGAGAATGAGATGAGGTTTAAGAGTGTATGGGGGGAATTGCCTCTACATGTATCATAATATATTTAGCTTCCAACACTGATGAGTAAGAGATGATATAATAGCCACATAGATGAAAGAGCAAATGTATTCTCTATCAACCCAGAGGAAAGGAGTAGGACTAAAGTATTCAAATTAGTAGAAAGGGAATTTTAACTAAACATGAGGAGGAGGAAGCTCCTGATAGTGAAACAAACCACATTCAAAGCTGGTGGATTTTCTGTAAGGATTGGGTCCACTTCTTCTATAATGCAGTGTTTAGAAGTGGTTGTCTGAATCAGAACTGGAAGAAGCGGCAGGACTGGAATGCTTTGGTGAAATCAGGGCAACAGACCCAGAGATAAGCCAAGCAGTCACCCCACCTCCAAAAAAAAATAAAAAAAGAGTTTTAAGTTCTGCGGGAAATGCTGTTGAGCTTACTGAATTGGGTTGTGACAGACTTAGCCTCATTAGTCCAATTGCATGGCATCATTTTAAAAGGGCAGGCTTATTTCCAGTGACTGCCCCCCCCCCCCGCCCCCATCAGCTCCTTTCATTTGGGAGGAAAGAGAGACATTCAGTTTGGAATCAGTTTTGCAGTAGCCATCATCCTATATTCACTAGTGTGTGTTTTTGTTTTTGTTTTGCAATGCTCTGCTTTTATATCACAAAGCCAAGTTAGCTGCCCAGCTTTAACGTAATAAAGATTTTAGTTAGAAAGTCTTTTGTCTTGGTCTGTTTCAAAGGAGTGAGGAAAGAAAATTGGCTGTTAGCACTCTCCTTGTTTTAGGGTTTAGAGATTTTCAGACAAAGGATGATGATGATGATGATGATGATGATGATGATGATGATGATGATTATAACATTTCTATGCCGCCCCTTGCCGAAAACTCGGGGCGGCTTACAACACGATAAAATACATGGAAATACAATAGTACATAATAAATTACCATTAAATATAAAAATTCAAAAAATACATTGATTTACAAATACAAAATTAAAATTATCAGTGTAAAATAAAAATATAGGATGAGAAAGAGAAGGAAGAAGAAGTTGCCCAGGCCAGATCATATGATGGCCACCTATTAGGGATACAGTAGCAGCAGGTTTTCTGTCTGTCTGTCTGTCTGTCTGCCTCTTTATGCTGCTCTTCAACCAAATAGGGTTCCCAGAACAGTTTTCAAAGATGAATCAAGCTAAAGTTTTCCCCTTGATGTTACATCCTGTCATGCCTGACTCTAGGGAGCGGTGCTCATCTCCGTTTCCTAGCCGAGGGAGCCAGTGTTTGTCCGCAGACAGTCTCCGTGGTCATGTGGCCGGCATGACTAAACACCAAAGTGCATGGAACGCAGTTACCTGCCCACCGAAGTGGTACCACCTTTTTATCTACTTGCATTTGCATGCTTTCGAACTGCAAGGTTGGCAGGAGCTGGGACGGAGCAACGGGAACTCACCCTGTTGTGCAGATTCGAACTGTTGACCTTTTGATCAACCAGCCCAGCAGCTCAGCAGTTTAACCCACTGCACCACCACATCCCCACAAAGATGAATACAAAGACATTGTTATTAATAAATTGCTACTCTGGCTGGGTTGGATTACATGACCTTTGAGTAGGGATACTGGAGAAATTCACAACAGAATCAAATGAGTTTGGATTTCTAAGGATATTACCTAGTGATTCATAAAGGCAGAATTGTTAAAACAGAATTAAAGACTCCTGACACTCCATGAAATACAGATTTAATGATTTAACAAACTCCCTTAAGGCCCTGTCTTCCAGCTCTATGATTTTACAACTGTGGCAATTATTATCAACGCAGTTTAAACAGTTCCCATAGCATAAGGATTGATCCTGCTGTCTGACTATGACCCTAATCCTTTTTCTGTCCTGTCCCAGTAGCAGAAGTTTCTCATTATATTTGGTCAATGCAGGCAGAAGTCTATGCATGGTTCCTTTCTGTGTATGAAAATCCCAGTTGTAACCAGGGTTGCCTTGGCATGGCATGGCTTATCTCGCCAGAGTACATTGGGAATCCTACTGGAATCAGAATCCCAAGGTTTCCCAAGCAACATTTGTTAAATTAAACCACCTTAATATTGCAAATATCCCATGGATGCTTGATTGACACCTTGGTGCCTCAGATCAACTGACTGTCTTCAGAGCCTCTTGATAGCACCAGCTACTTGCCTGCGTGGGCAGCTAATCAGTGGGTGGGCAAAAGTGCAAGGATATGAAAACTTCTACATCAAAAACACAGTGGTTAACCATTGTTTGTACTCAGCAATGCTTTGAAGGGCGTAAGGGTTGTAAATGAACTAAAGCTGCATTAGTAACTGTGATTGGGATGATTATGAGTGTCTTGCTGCAGGTGAAACAGTGCCTTCAGTATGAAAAACCACAGGCAGGTTTGTCTGGACTTCAAAGGAGAGAGCAAAGGGGAGGAAAAAACAGCACTTTCCCTCTTTAATACACACATTAATGGTAACTGGATAAAAGGTCTCATGGATGACACTGAGACAGGGAGAAGTTCAGTGCAACACCAGGAGAAAGTACTGGCCCACAGAGGAAAGCAGAAACTGTGCCTCAGCCTCTTCCTTCTTTTGACTGATTCTGCCTGAAGCACTTGTGACGTGAACAGAGGACCTCTGTTCCAAATACTGACCCCTTACACAGCCAAGGCTGCACCAACAGATATATTTGCTTTTTATATTTGCTTCAGAAGTAGCACATTGGATCAAAAATCCCACAGGACAAATACCTACCTCACAGGATGTTCACTTTGTTCCGGTGGGTTGTTTGTTTCCCGGGATCTTTGCATCTCAGCACCACCTTCCTCTTCCTTCCATGCTCTCCCTGACCTCAAATGCCCACGCTACCAATTACACAGTTTCTGTAATTCTGTTTATGAACGTTCACCAATGGTTTATGGGCATTCATCACTCAGACATAGCACAAGACGTCCACAAAACAAAATAAAATGGATGGTTACTGCCAATACAGTTAAACAGCAGTGATGGGAAATGAGTCCAAGCAGAATAAGGGCAAAGAAGTGCCAAAAGTGGGAGGCAATTTTAGGCCATTATGAAAACAGGGACAAGGTAGGTCTTTTGCCTTGCAATTTTCTCTTTTAATTTCATGTTATTCACCCAGAGAACCTTTATTATTGAGCAAATTAAAAATATAATAAATGATTAGATAATCGTTTCAGCTTAGGCCACATGAGCTGAAATGCTCTTTGGGAAATGAAGAACCATAGACCAAGTAAATCTGTGATTGCCTAGATACAGCCCAACCTGAGCAAGAAGCTTTATTAAAGTCCTTCTTACCAAGGAGAGGCAACGGCTACCCAGAGTGGGCGGATGCACTTCCATCACTGCCTAGAGCAATGCCCCAACACTTCGCTCTGGCCACTTGCTGCCAACTTTTATTCCCGAGAGTCCTGAGGAATGTGAATATGAGCAAAGCATAAGCAGATGACATATTGATATGGGAAGTGCAAATTGAGCAAGTTCTTTTCAAACTCCTGCAGGGCATGTGGGCCCCTGAGTGCTAGCTGGGCCGGGGAGTCAGGTGGTCAGCCAACCTGGAGCGGGCCTAGACTAAGTTACTTCCCTAGCAGCCCCCAGCCCTTACCTCCAGCCCTTTGCCACTGTTGCCACTGCCACTCAGTTTTCCTTCCTTCCTAAACCTGCAGCTTTCTCCTACTCTTAAGCTGGTGCACCATTTTAAAAGTAACATTAAAAAAAAACCCTACATTTTTTAGTAGAAGTGATTGGAACCAATCAAACATTGCTTTGGGAGGCCATCGGCTGAGTTTCCCAAAGGCAGTCTGATGGGTTCAGTTCGTTGCTACTCAAAAGGAACCTTTAAAAAATGTTACGTTTCAAATGGTGCATCACAGGCCCTCCCTACTGCAGACCATAGTACTTC